TAGTTCGAAGTATATCGGTATCTCGACTTCTCTTTTGTTTTATCAGTTAAACCTCTTATAAAAATACCCTTTGTTACAAAATAATCTTGTGTCAGGCATTTTACTGAGATATATGCTTCATAATTTAATTAATTGTTGCCATAGTTACAAAATTATTATATCAAAATGTTTACTCAGATCGTACTAGATGTATGCTGTCTGTGGCACGTTTGTTTAAATGTTGTTTAATTGTGATTCATAAAATCGACATGGTAACGAATATCTTGGGTGTAATATGTAAGGGAGATAACTCTTAATCTTCATTCATGCTATACTGCTCGGCTAGGGGAGAACTTCTCTTTAGCTCAATCAGTAGAGTGTGTTATTAGTAAGTCTAAAGACCTGTTCTTGATTCGATCTCTAGTGGACATATAGAAAATTGAAGATGTGTAATGTGTAGGGTAGCTTGCATAGGCTATTTAAGAAGGAAATGTTTATAATATTTTTATTCACAGAATTAAATCTTTATGTGTGAAACAATTTTGTTGTCAATACCAGTTTTTTCCACGTCCTTTTCTATTCCACGTTTGTCTATACCTCTTTCATACAGTGTATATATCAATTATACAATTGAAATGATTGTACTGGATGATCAACTGAAAACCATATGTTAAAACACACATTTGTGTTGAAAGAAGTGTTTCCAGAATCTAACTGAGAAATACATGTATTCTATATCCTTGTTTGATATAAAACATTGCACGTGTTTGATGATCGTAAGTAATTCTGGTTGTTCTGTGGGAACAGGTTTTGTCTTGTTTAGTCAGTTTGGCTAGAGAAATATAAAAAAAAAATATTGAAAACATTGTACAACTAAATATTCTATTGAAAATTATGTAGTAGTATTTTCTCCCTCTGTACATTGGATGAAAAAAACTGAATTTAATTTAACTTAAAATCACTTCAGTGTAAAGTAACCCATGCCTATATATGTAGAAATAGGACCTAACAGCAATAAATACGTTGTCTGGAATCATGGACTTTTCAGCGGTGAGATGGGGATCAAATTAACTTTTGTATTATTTCCAGACATCTTTAGAAAGACGAGATTTCTATTCAAAACAAACTACATGTAAAGTGCTTTGATAAGATTCTAAACATTTTTCTTTGACGTAATTAAAATATAAGTTGCAAAATTAGGAAGTGGTACAATTTGAGCATTGACATAAGCCCTACAGGTCAATGTTGAGTGATTATGTATTTTATATGTTAAAGCAATTTAAATCCCTCACGTGTATAAACAATTTTGATACAGATGTCATAATACAATATATCTAATATTATCTTACTTTACATGTATCTTGACGTTTTAAAGATAAGATACAAAAATGATAAGCGAAACCAATGTTGTCATTTTTAAAATTAATTCATGACATATTGATAAGTAACTATTTTGATGGAATAGAGCAGATCCTGCCGTGTCTATTTTTGACTCAAATTGAACTATATTTAAGTTGGTCTGGTACAATTCCGATGCTGACCATTCCGAAAACCAATGCTTTTGCAATTACTTTGATGTCAAATTATAAAATGACTTAACCTTAGTTGCTGTTGAAAAACTACCTGATTTTGGCTAAAAACTAATATTTGCAGGTGTAAATGATTCTTAGCTCTGAATTTACTTACACATGTTTTAAATCTTATTGTTACTATTCTTATTGTTATTATTCTTATTATAGTTGTTGTTGTTGTTGTTGTTGTTGTTGTTGTTGTTGTTGTTGTTGTTGTTGTTGTTGTTGTTGTTGTTGTTGTTGTTGTAATGGTACGGATATAAAATCGATATCTAAGGAAGTAAAATTTTACATTCAGTTTATATAACACGCCAACATGTTCTTTGTTTCTTAACATGTTGTCTCACTTCGCTTTGTCAGCGGCAACACAATCCCTAGAAAGTTACTTCCCCTCTTAAAAACATGTAACTGAGATAAAATTTGTCAAATAAGATACTTTTTATGTAACAAAGTAATGCAATATTTACATCATATTATACAACATAATAATGATACTATTGTTATGAAAGCATTTAAGATAGCATATCAGTTTATTTTAGTTATCCATATTTTTCTCTTTCCATATGGTAATTTTAATGACACACATTCACACTCGTGTACTGTAAAATTTTGACACACATTCAGTTTATATACACTCTTTTACAGGAGAGTGAACAGTAATGACACACATTCACACTCGTGTACAGGAGAGTGAATTCAGTAATGACACACATTCACACTCGTGTACAGGAGAGTGAATTCAGTAATGACACACATTCACACTCGTGTACAGGAGAGTGAATTCAGTAATGACACACATTCACACTCGTGTACAGGAGAGTGAATCAGTAATGACACACATTCACACTCGTGTACAGGAGAGTGTGAATTCAGTAATGACACACATTCACACTTCACACTCGTGTACAGGAACATGCTCGTGTACAGGAGAGTGAATTCAGTAATGACACACATTCCACACTCGTGTACAGGAGAGTGAATTCAGTAATGACACAAAGTGTACAGGAGAGTGAATTCATTAATGACACACATTCACACTCCTGTCATTGATAGTGACTTCAGTAATGACACACATTCACACTCGTGTACAGGAGAGTATTTGACACACATTCACACTCGTGTACAGGAGAGAAAATGAATTTTTAATGACACACACACACTGTGTTTTGTGACACACATTCACACTCGTGTACAGGAGAGTGAATTCAGTAATGACACACATTCACACTCGTGTACAGGAGAGTGAATTGACACACATTTGTTTATTTTCACACGTGTACAGGAGAGTGAATTCAGTAATGTAATGACACACATTCACACTCGTGTACAGGAGAGTGAATTCAGTAATGACACACATTCACACTCGTGTACAGGAGAGTGAATTCAGTAATGACACACATTCACAATCGTGTACAGGAGAGTGAATCAGTAATGACACACATTCACACTCGTGTACAGGAGAGTGAATTCAGTAATGACACACATTCACACTCGTGTACAGGAGAGTGAATTCAGTAATGACACACATTCACACTCGTGTACAGGAGAGTAATGACACACATTCAACACAGGAATGAATTCACAATGACACACATTTTTTTCGTGTACAGGAGAGTGAATCAGTAATGACACACATTAACACTCGTGTACAGGAGAGTGAATTCAGTAATGACACACATTCACACTCGTGTACAGGAGAGTGAATTCAGTAATGACACACACATTATACAAAATACAGGAGAGTAACAGTAATGACACACACACATTCACACTCGTGCACAGAGAGTGAATTCAGTAATAACACACATTCACACTCGTGTACAGGAGAGTGAACTCAGTAATAACACACATTCACACTCGTGTACAGGAGAGTGAATTCAGTAATGACACACATTCACACTCGTGTACAGGAGAGTGAATTCAGTAATGACACACATTCACACTCGTGTACAGGAGAGTGAATTCAGTAATGACACACATTCACACTCGTGTACAGGAGAGTGAATTCAGTAATGACACACATTCACACTCGTGTACAGGAGAGTGAATTCAGTAATAACACACATTCACACTCGTGTACAGGAGAGTGAATTCAGTAATGACACACATTCACACTCGTGTACAGGAGAGTGAATTCAGTAATGACACACATTCACACTCGTGTACAGGAGAGTGAATTCAGTAATGACACACATTCACACTCGTGTACAGGAGAGTGAATTCAGTAATGACACACATTCACACTCGTGTACAGGAGAGTGAATTCAGTAATGACACACATTCACACTCGTGTACAGGAGAGTGAATTCAGTAATGACACACATTCACACTCGTGTACAGGAGAGTGAATTCAGTAATGACACACATTCACACTCGTGTACAGGAGAGTGAATTCAGTAATGACACACATTCACACTCGTGCACTAGAGAGTGAATTCAGTAATGACACACGTTCACACTATTGCACAAGAGAGTGAATTCAGTAATAACACACATTCACACTCGTGTACGGGAGAGTGAATCAGTAATAACACACATTCACACTCGTGTACAGGAGAGTGAATTCAGTAATGACACACATTCACACTCGTGTACAGGAGAGTGAATTCAGTAATGACACACATTCACACTCGTGTACAGGAGAGTGAATTCAGTAATGACACACATTCACACTCGTGTACAGGAGAGTGAATTCAGTAATGACACACATTCAAACTCGTGTACAGGAGAGTGAATTCAGTAATGACACACATTAACACTCGTGTACAGGAGAGTAAATTCAGCAATGACACACATTACACATACCGAAAACAATCGTTGCAGCGGCGAAACCAATATGGTCACATTTCGGCCATTTTAATTTTTTCATGTATTAGCCTCAAAATCAGCAGTGGCCAACTAGGGACCAAAGGTAATTTACATATCTGAGAAAGTGAAAAAAAATCCATACACGTACAAATATTCTTGTAAAGCTACAACAAAGAAATTCGAGTTAATTAACATTGCTGTGCTTATATACGATTTTTCTCAAAAATACATACCTGATGTCTTCGTAATAAACAGTGGTACAAAGCTTTACGGTTCAAACTGATTTCGCGAACTTTCGTGATGAATTGCTTCTGTTATGATATTGATGAAACAACTGCAACACCGTTCTATAATGTACATGTATACCACTTTCAGCCCGAAACTATGATAAATGTAATTAAATCCATACGTTGGAACCCGGAAGTTTTCTTTCTTTTGTTTGTTTGTTTTTTTCAAACGACTTGATTATTTTTTCGATTCACCATTTTAATTAATTGGTATTGTTTTGAAATGTAAATGAGATTAACTTGTTACTGGGCGATAAAACAGACTACATGTACTTTCTGATATCCCAGAGTTACTTCCCTTAGTTTCGTACTGAATCCGTGCGAAAACCCTTGGACTTTTTCTTAGTACCTTATGGGTCGAGATTGCACAACCAACAACATAGAAGTGAATAGGACATTAGGAGATATATTAGATAGCAACTGTGAGGAAGGGTCTCGATTGTTTCATGGCTCAGCGAAGAGACTCCAATGTACGTAGTTTCTTGTTCTTCTGCCCGCATGTGACATTATCATAATTAATTTTTTTGCAATGTCGTTGGAGTTACTCCCCCCTTATATTTTGGCGCAAACTTAACGAATCCAGCAATGCCGAGTACAAGATTAAATTTGGTGGTTGCAATGTGTAACAGCCGAGGGATAGGAATCAACGGCAAAATTCCATGGCGACTCAGGTAGGTTTAAATAAGACAAATGTTGAAATTACTGGATAATATCATTTCCTTTGATATTTAGTGAGGAGTTGACGCATGTTGACAAGGACAACAATGATTGTTAACCGTGAAAACAACTCATTTACAGCATTTCAAATGAAAAGAAAATCCGTTGTTACTAAATTTGTTTGCATTTGAATAAACCATACTGTGGCCAGGCTTATGAAATCGTGATGGTCTTGTATTGAAATGACGACAAGGTCACGGGGGTTAAGTACGATATTTATTCCAACATTATCAGGGCATCTTAAAAAGCTCTGTAACAAATAATATACAACGGACTTAACTACACATTCAAGCTAACCATACTTTCTTAACTTTCACACACAAAGGGAAATAACTCTCACAGCACTAATAAAATCATTATTTATCAATCGTATACTATTACGATTTACAAATGAGACGTTTACAATGATTATTATAGACTTTTATATCGATACTATTTATATCGATAAAATAAATATATTGATAAATGCAAAGATGCATTTATCTTTACAAGTTATATTGAGTTATAAGTTAAAATATAATCATACATATACCGAAATACAGATAATAATGGCTCAAAGCCCATGTCCTGAAACTGACCATGGAGCTACAACAAGTCCTCGAGACGGTCTAGTTCAATATATATATATCAATATATTTTCAAGCTTATTGAACACGTCCAGTCTGGTCAATCGAATGCCTCAGTCTTACAAGACAAAAGCCCGAACAAAGAAACATCCTGCCAAATCGCCCAATAAAAAACAACCAATGAAAACAACAGGAAATATGTGACATCACACCACAAAGACTGACCACTTCGACATTACAATTACTGGTACAATACAGACGAAACGAAACGGCACTAAATATAGATGCATTACTATATGATACAGACGATACTAATTCTGGCAATCTGTGTTACGGACGCGACAATACAATACTCTGGACGATTGGAGAATAATATTAAAATAATGCCAAAACACAATAATACATATTTAATGAAACAACTTAAAAATACACGAAATAATGTCCCTGCTACACTTACACACGCAGTTGAATGAATGTACTTCTAGCATGAATGCTACCAGTGTCACTGAAAGTCGGTGTTAACGACACCGGATATTGGTACTATGCAAGCAGTAAATGTAAACACCTGGGCCTTACCTGGTCGCATTCATGATGTGCACATCTAAAAATGGATGACGAATCTAGCAAGTTTATAAAACGAATGTTTTTTGTCATAATATATCATTTGAGTTGGCTGTATTTCATCATTGCAATTTTTGCTACATACATCCTTTATTATTCTGATGGTGAAACATGAAATTTCCATAATTTATGATTAAAACACTTGATTCCACCACACAATGCACATTCACTGTGTGTTATAAACTTTTGCACAGAAAGCACACCTTTGGCCCAAATCTGCATCAAAGGATATGCTTATCTGCTGATCACACGTGTGAATGATGCCATATTGGATGAACTCGCTATAGAGTTTATCACTAAATAGCGACTGTACATGGATACTGAAAATATGTTAAGATGAAATTTTCAAAAATGGTCTGAAGTCGAACAGACATGCCAAAAAATTCATTTAAGTGACTTATATGATTTATCATCCATTTTTTCGATCGATTTGCATGAAAGAAATGTGATCAGACCTCACCTGGATGTTTCATACCTTGGGGAATTTTTCTTGATTTCCTTTGAGGTACTAATGTTATTAAGGATTGAGCATGTTCGATCAACTTCGCACATACTCAGTCTTTTCTGAAACTATAAACAACATATAGAACTGAACATATTCCAAGGACCTTCCTGGCAATTTTTGGAATTCAGATTTTTAGCCCACCATCTATCTAGTAGATGGCCATCTTGGATTTTGGATGTAAAAGTTTGTTACCGCTATTTCTTTGAAAGTACTGGATGGATCTTTCTCAAATTTCATATGCAGGTTCCCCTTGGTCCCTAGTTGTGCATTGTACCTTTTTTTGGACTGATTCGAATTAAAGATGGCCGACAGGCAGCCATCTTGGATTTTGGAAGTAAAAGTTTGTTACTGCTATATCTTGGAAAGTACTGGATGGATCTTTCTCAAATTTCATATGCAGGTTCCCTTTGGTTCCAAGTTGTGCATTGTACCTTTTTGGACTGATCCGAAATCAAGATGGCTGACAGGCAGCCATCTTGGATTTTGAGAGTAAAATCTTGTTACTGCTATATCTGAGGAAGTATTGGATGGATCCTTCTGATATTTCATAGATATTGGTTTCCCTTGGTCCCTAGTTGTGCATTGTACCTTTTTTGGACTGATTTGAAATCAAGGTGGCCCACAGGCAGCCATCTTGGATGTCGACAGTAATACAGCACAAGCATATTGTCCATTATCCACCTGTAACTGACTGCTATCTAATAATACTTTGGGATCTTTTTCAAATGATATTTGCTAAAAGGTGCTTAATAAAAATATCTTGTGCCATCATTGAGTACATTCAATGAAGACCAGTTCATGAACATTTACAACACCTGTTACAAACAGAAAAAAATAAACAAATCTTCAAGAACTGAAAACAGATCCTCAAATGGTGGGCGCCAAGATCCCTCTGGGATCTCTTGTTTTTCATCTAGCTTGGAAAATCTGTTTTTATTTGATTTATTTCTTTAGCCTTTAGTGCTGACACATTTGAATCCTTTTGATGTTTAGATGCTGGGAAACATATTTCAAGTCAAATTGAAGAACAGTGCGAAGTCTCACAGCAAATTATACCACAATTCTAACTAAAACTTGTAATTAATTATGTGACAACAATGCCATATGAATCTGTGTTGAATCCTGGTATTGTCACCCATTAATTTTAAGCGTTGAGGGATGCCATCTTGGGACAGACAGGGCTCTCAATCTGCCAGATTTGGGGCTGATATTCGGCCCCATTCCCAATGCAAAATAGTATCTTTTTTCCCAAATTTAGACCCCTAAGTTTTCCCAATTCTAAGGAAAACGCCGCTATTTTTCCCAATTCCAAAGGCCCCAGTCCCAAAATGGGGTGTGAGAGCCCTGACAGACCTTGCTTTTTATCTTGTCTTGAGAAAACTTGAATTACAGCAGTATTAGGCATAAATAAATTCAAACGTGCAAACATTCAAGTTATGTGATCAGTAAAAAGAGGTGGATTAATTTCCTGAAAATGGAAAAAACCAATCTCCAATACTGAAACACAATTTGTCCTAAATGTTATGTTGCCAGTTAATAGAAGATGCATTTTACCTACATACACTGTAAATAAGCATTATCAATTAAAGTCCTTACTGTATGTTGCCAATTAATACAAGACGTATTTTACCTATATACACTGTAAATAAGCATTATCAATTAAAGTCCTTACATGTACATCATTTCGGAATATTTTCCTTCATAGACGAAGAGTTCACAGAAACGTACATCGTGTATTGTATATTTTTGCTGATATCAGGCATTATGCTTGTGTTCCTGCCATGAATATGACTCAAAATCTTGTTTCTGTTGTCGAAACAAAGTAATTATGTGAGACCTCTTGGTATCAATATCTGTTGTCTCCAACATCTAAGTTTCCGCTGGCTTCTAGCTAACCCATATCCATTTCTCCTGTGGTTCTTGATTATGACTAGCACAAGTTCCCTGTGGCTCCCAGCTAGCCCAATTTTCATCTGGCTCTTAACTAGCCCAAGCTCCCTCTGGCTCCTGATTAGCCCAAGTTTAGTCCCAACCCCTTTACCAGATAAAACATATGCTAATGCATATATATCTATAAATGTCCAACAATATTTCTAACTTCTGGTGTAGGAGCCAAAGTAAACCCAGTTAAAGCTATATGTCAGGACATTATTTAATGTTTATAGAACCATTATCATATGTTTCTCTCGTCTCTGTTACAGAAAAGACATGGAAGTCTTCAAGAAAATTACAACAGAAACCAAAGATCCAGGTATTTATACAGGATTAAAAATCACTGCAACTGTAAATCTATTGCCCATCAATGCATTGTAGTCATTTGGTTAGGAGGCTGAAGGCCGACAGAAATATGGAGGTCACTTGGATGGTCAGGTAGCACAGTGGTAACATTTTTGCTTTTTACTTAGGTGTCCAGGGTTAGGTTCTCTGCATGGACATGAAACAATGGGGTCACCTGGCCAACCATGTGGGTTATCCCCATGTACTCCCACAGTAAGACCCTTCATGCACTTACATCCAACAAGTGTGATTAAGAATTTAAAAGCAATCGCAACAAGCTAATGGTTCCGAGATGATAATTTATTGTATTGTCTACCAGTTCCGCCCGCAACATATGGGCTTCTTCAGGTCTCGGAACCATTAGCTTGTTGCGATTGCTTTTTAATTCTTAGTTCCCACTATTTTGCAATCGCCCTGCATACCTGGGGGTATCCAAGCAAGGGGTCCTCGGAACCCATCTAAACTTTACTAAAACCACGGCGTTGGCTCTACACCCTTTTTGATGTTTCAACAAGAGTGATTGATTTAAGCTAAAGCTTGTTTTGCAATGTTGTCAAATGAATAAAGTTTACATTATATTAAGTTAGATTAAGAACAATTTAAAGAAAATACACTGAAATTACATGTTTTTGAAATTTCAACTTCATTTTATTTATTTAGAAGTATAGTTACTTTATTACACAATTAATCAAAATCAGTACAAATATATTGTCCCAAGTTTGAATTTGGTTTTTTCCCTGTTCACCTGTCTTGTTATATGCATTCAAGAGTTTAATCTGTTGTTTAGGGACATTGTCAAAGGAAATGTTGAAAAGGGAAAGAACCATACATGCCAGCCATCTTTATTAATTGAGGAAACCAAGTTTAGATAATAAATCTGTAAATCTGCTTTGAAAAATACAAGTCTCACTTGTGAAACAACAGCTTTAAATACATGTGATTCTGAGTTGTTTTCTATAAAAATGATTTTTCAAAAGCTTCAGGTTTTGAATGTGTCTATCCCAAATACTGCTGCAGTGATACACTGTTTCATATCGTATCAAAATGTGTTTTTGTAATTATATTGATCTGTTTACCTGTGTTTTTGTAATTATATTGATCTGTTTACCTGTGTTTTTGTAATTATATTGATCTGTTTACCTGTGTTTTTGTAATTATATTGATCTGTTTACCTGTGTTTTTGTAATTATATTGATCTGTTTACCTGTGTTTTTGTAATTATATTGATCTGTTTATACGTGTTTTTGTAATTATATTGATCTGTTTACCTGTGTTTTTGCAATTATATTGATCTGTTTACCTGTGTTTTTGTAATTATATTGATCTGTTTACCTGTGTTTTTGTAATTATATTGATCTGTTTATACGTGTTTTTGTAATTATATTGATCTGTTTATACGTGTTTTTGTAATTATATTGATCTGTTTACCTGTGTTTTTGTAATTATATTGATCTGTTTATACGTGTTTTTGTAATTATATTGATCTGTTTATACGTGTTTTTGTAATTATATTGATCTGTTTACCTGTGTTTTTGTAATTATATTGATCTGTTTACCTGTGTAGTGATACTCTAAAAGTATTTGAATATTCCATAATTTTTTTCACAAAACAAAAAATTGTCTTGTATTTTCAAATCATTCAGCAAAGATAGGATCATCTGTTCAGTGAAACTACAAGAAATTATGCAATAAGATATATGTTATACTGTAAAACTTATCACTAATTTATGCTGTTCATGCTTGATTTAATCAAAACGTGGAAAATTTAAAAACTGTTTAATATTCTGTTTGATTTTTTTTTCAGATAAGAACAATGTGGTGATAATGGGGAAGAAAACATGGCTATCGATCCCAGAAAAGTTCCGACCTCTTCCCAAAAGGATCAACATCGTATTGAGTCGTAATATGATGTGAGGGTTACTGTTAGTTTTGTCCTACGACATTGATAAACTGCATAGTGCTGATATTTAAAAATCATAGCACATCACAATAGATTTTTGCTGATTAATTTCCTTGTTGTTTAATTCAATTTCAATTTATGTGTTTCAGAACGAGTTGTGGTTGGTTTGGGATTATTGTAGCAATATCAACAATGATGCTGAAATAAGATTAAACTTTTTGTTAAAAAGAAAAAATACAATGAAAAAGTGAGGCTTATTATGTAATAAGAAATTAAGAAATAAACAAGTTTCTTACAGAAAAATACTGAAATTGAACAAAAAAGATTGAATGTTTCGTACAAAAAAAAACAGTAAAAAAAACCCCAACTGGTAACAAGTGTTACTTTACTAAAGATGATTGTTCATATGGATATTACTAGGGTTCAAAGATATTACTTTGTTTTACAGAGAAACACCCAGTGGTGCCTATTTAGCTAGAAGTTTTAAAGAGGCTGTTGCCATGGTAACAGGAAAAGGGGACTTCGCAGAAAAAGTAGAAAATGTGTATATCATAGGAGGAAGTTCTGTGTACAAGGTGAAATATACCTCTGATGATATCTAACCCACCAGATCTCAGAAATAAGTCTAGTTATAGGAGTGAGTATTGTAGATGGCCTAACTTTCTGATGTTAGAAATAAGTCTAGCTTTAAGTGTAGGTAATGTCACTTTCTGATGTTAGAAATAAGTCTAGCTTTAAGTGTAGGTAATGTCACTTTCTGATGTTAGAAATAAGTCTAGCTTTAAGTGTAGGTAATGTCACTTTCTGATGTTAGAAATAAGTCTAGCTTTAAGTGTAGGTAATGTCACTTTCTGATGTTAGAAATAAGTCTAGCTTTAAGTGTAGGTAATGTCACTTTCTGATGTTAGAAATAAGTCTAGCTTTAAGTGTAGGTAATGTCACTTTCTGATGTTAGAAATAAGTCTAGCTTTAAGTGTAGGTAATGTCACTTTCTGATGTTAGAAATAAGTCTAGCTTTAAGTGTAGGTAATGTCACTTTCTGATGTTAGAAATAAGTCTAGCTTTAAGTGTAGGTAATGTCACTTTCTGATGTTAGAAATAAGTCTAGCTTTAAGTGTAGGTAATGTCACTTTCTGATGTTAGAAATAAGTCTAGCTTTAAGTGTAGGTAATGTCACTTTCTGATGTTAGAAATAAGTCTAGCTTTAAGTGTAGGTAATGTCACTTTCTGATGTTAGAAATAAGTCTAGCTTTAAGTGTAGGTAATGTCACTTTCTGATGTTAGAAATAAGTCTAGCTTTAAGTGTAGGTAATGTCACTTTCTGATGTTAGAAATAAGTCTAGCTTTAAGTGTAGGTAATGTCACTTTCTGATGTTAGAAATAAGTCTAGCTTTAAGTGTAGGTAATGATCTCACTTTCAGCTGTCTGAAATAAGCCTAGTTTATGTTAAATTACTGATATATTTCTCTTTAATAGAAATAAGGCTAATTGAGTGGTAAATTTTGTACTGAAATATATGTTTTGTTTGTAACAGGAAGCCATGGATTTCCAGTGGCCTTGCCGTATTTATCTGACCAGAGTTCTTGCTGATTATGACTGTGATACATATTTACCAGAATTTGACTTGAATAAATTTAAAAAACTACAACAGTAAGTAATTTCAATACAGTGAGTGAATGGTGCTATGTCCTAGAAATCTAAAATTTTTGATGATTTAAAAAAAAACAGATGACAGTTATCTAAAAGTAGGATTTTCATTTTACATTATTTAGAGTTATGCCCCTTCATTAGTATTTTTTAGTTTTGTTGAGAGCATGTATCAAGGCCAACATGCGGCTAGGATGGATGTTGAGATTATCTTGGTTCAAAATGAAGTTTTGTATGTTAGACACTGGTAGTGTTACCATGCCTTCTCATTATCCTGATGACTTCATTCTGTACTTTTATAGCATCACAATAGAATATATTTAACATGTAGCACGCAACACAAAATATGTCTGTATCCCATCGAATTCATAACACCATGAACATGATAAAAACACTGGTTAATTTCTATGTACATCAACATTAATTACAAACTTTAAATCTACCCTTTTCTTTCTCTGTTGTCAAAAGGTGAAATGAAGGGGTGAAACAGAAATGAATTATCCAATCACATACTCCATAAACCTCCCTGTAGTTTCCATTACAAATATAATTTCTTTTGAATTCCTGTTTTTAATAGGATCACTGAACAGAAGTAAATATCAGATTTTTTTTTCACAGTTGTGAATATGTACAATATTTTTTATTTACAGTTGTGAAGATGCACAATATTTTTTATTTACAGTTGTGAAGATGCACAATATTTTTTATTTACAGTTGTGAAGATGCACAATATTTTTTATTTACAGTTGTGAAGATGCACAATATTTTTTATTTACAGTTGTGAAGATGCACAATATTTTTTACTTACAGTTGTGAAGATGCACAATATTTTTTTATTTACAGTTGTGAAGATGCACAATATTTTTTATTTACAGTTGTGAAGATGCACAATATTTTTTATTTACAGTTGTGAAGATGCACAATATTTTTTATTTACAGTTGTGAAGATGTACCTGCCATACGTATGACAGAGAATGGAGTTGAATTTGAATTTGAAGTATATGACAAGGTAGATAATTAAAGTGTGACCTTTGACCTGGTGTTGTGGTGTGCTTTTATCCTTACTTGTATCTCCTCTGTGTGTAAACTGTAGTTAGCTTACCTGTACACATCAGATACTGTATAATCTTATGTCTTGGGGCTTGAATCTTTTGGATTTAGATGAAAAATAATTTTGTACACCATTCACACTTATTCTGATAAAAGGTATATATACAAACACACACATATATATATAATTTATTGATTCAAGATTATCAATAAAGTATATATTTTGTTTATTTTACAACAATCAGTGTCACCAGCTCTCTTGATTTAATCACATCAATGTTTGCTATATCATGATCTTATCAAACATTCGAATTCTAGAATCACCTGAAGTCTCTTAGATTGTCATCATGGCTTAAAAATTTCAAAGTCAGTTTTTGGATCTCATATAGTCAAAATACTGTCTAAATATAGAACATCATCTAAATACATACAGATGTGATAACTATAGGATAGAAATGATTATAAGGACATTTTCCTTGACGACCCTATAAAACACCTTGTCACCCTTAACTTTGAAGGGATATGACCAGATATTAGATGGCTCGAGGCTGGTGACACTGAACAAGTGGGAAAGTTTCTACATGTATTAATCACTTGTTGGCCTGAATGGATATGTACGAGGAATCTCATTGTCATGGTAACAGGCAAGTGAGTTACTACTGCACCAATCAACAAACATGAAACCCCCAACACAATGTATTGATATTTCAATGTAGTACTTCATCCGTAGACAACTGATATCAAACCAAACACAATGTATTGATATTTCAATGTAGTACTTCATCCGTAGACAACTGATATCAAACCAAACACAATGTATTGATATTTCAATGTAGTACTTCATCCGTAGACAACTGATATCAAACCAAACACAATGTATTGATATTTCAATGTAGTACTTCATCCGTAGACAACTGATATCAAACCAAACACAATGTATTGATATTTCAATGTAGTACTTCATCCGTAGACAACTGATATCAAACCAAACACAATGTATTGATATTTCAATGTAGTACTTCATCCGTAGACAACTGATATCAAACCAAACACAATGTATTGATATATCATTTATTTACACAATAAAACTATATATAGTATGTATAGTCAGTTTTATTGTGGGAAGGATTTACTATTCAACAAACAAATTAAATAGCTTACAATGAATGAATATCTCAGAATATATCTGTTATACTTGTATGCAAGGACACCAATTCTTAAACTTGCTTGAAATTTAATACTGGTGAATTTTTAAAACTACTGACAACTGTGAAATATTAGTAATGCAAAATAAAACAATTATACAATGTTAGGATATTATAGATATTTGATATCTAATATTTTTATATTGGTTTAACAACAATACACTTTAAACCCATCCTTTCACATCTGAATAATTTTTGTAACCAATACATAGTATTATGTTTTCTGGACTGTAACTAAATCATTGGTTTGCCTTTTCTCTAGGAATTGGTTTATTTAGGCGTTGACCTGTCTGTTGATGGTATTCATAGTCATTATAAATGACAAAGCTTTGGAGCAAACATCAAATTTTACATTACCGATTTAGTTATATGCTTATGGTTACACTTTCTATGTACCTGCTACATTATGTGTATGTTAACTTGTGTTATAATGAAATTAAATATTTATCATATTTTTTCGAGTGGAACAGCTGTTTTGAAAGTGAACCATCCATGTTGTTTCTGCTCACAACTATATAGCTTCCTAGTTCTGTTTGGATGTACATCTATATGTTGGACAGCACTGTTTGGCAACTTTCTGGTGAAATTATTAGGAACCTAACTTCATGACTTTTTCAGGTACATTTACGAAACTCGATGATGAGGGTGTGTATATTGACTGTTTTTAGATGTGTTTGCTAAAGGTCTCATTGAGTCAAGGTTTTGAAGTCATGGTTCAGACCCCTATTTCTAACTTATATATAGTAAATGAAATATGAAATATAGTGAGACCACCAGGTAGGGAACAAAATACCACTATTTTCAGGTCATATTGGGGTATGACTTTACTCAATGACTACGCAAAGGAAAATTCATGGTTGTATGAAGGATGGCAAGGCGGAGTATCACTCACTGTTTTTAGGCTAAATGTACTCAGTACGCATAGCCTATTGCTATGGCCTTTCAGACAAAATTTACCGATCCTGGCCTTCTCATTGGCTGAAATATTGAAAAGAGTTAGAGCCCTTTAGCGGCAATTTTCTGCGTAAATAATGTCACGATTTTTCAAATCGCTATTTTAAAAGCATCCAAAATTAGTTTATTTTTTAATAACAATACGATTACTATATATTTAAAAAAAGAAGCACAGTGTGGTTGAACTATTGATAAATTTTGAACAAGATATTTTACGGGATTCTCAACATGACGTAAGCGTACAGAACACTGTACGTGCGAGTTGATAAGAAGCTAGTCAGGGGGCTTGGTTTGAATTATCAACTAACAGCACTTATAAAAAAACAAAACTTACAAACAACATCAGTTTTGTTTTCATCCTTGTCGTTGTGGCAAGATCGTCTTGATATATAACATCACTTTACCTCAGTAGACGTCACCGAATTGAACTGTTCGTCCCACGCGCACACCCGCCGATATGACACTTTTTTCAGGTTTTTCACACCCACCGCTATGACACTTTTTCAAGTTTTTGGAGATAAAAAGTTTGCGCTTCGTAGGCAAGGTACATTTGGTGCTCATGATTTATGAATAATATATTTTAATACTGTACTGATCATGATGTTGACTCTGTTATAACTTATATTTTTTGTCTTTTTGTTTTATTCGATGAAGGTTGATTGTGCTGATTTCTCAAGGTTTGTTAATGTGTATCAAAGTTCCTTGAATTGGAAATATTTCTTCAAACAAAGCGCGTATAAAAAAACCCAAAATATTCATGTTTATAATTATCAATTAACTAGAACGAAATATTTCCATAACATATTTATTCATTTAGCGTGTCATGGTGACATTATCTAATGCATTGGAGATCAGAAATAGTACCTGGTATAAGCTATAGTGAAAATATTGTAAATTTTTTATATATATGGAAGTCTGGTTTAATCTCAAAGAACTATGTCTTTATAGTCATAATTACTGCAAGAAAAGTCTAACCATGATACTTCAAGGAAGACAGGCATGTAAATACATTTAATGTAATTACTTACACTTTAATCTATCTGAAATGCTGTGTACACCTTATCTACTTTCTTCAACTACAAATATAATCACAATAAGTAAGGACTATTACTTTGCAATACATTCAAAATAAAGAAGTAGGTATAAAGTCCTTTCGATTTGTTTAAATCCTCATATTGATAGGATAGTAATTGCAACATTTTGGGTATTTCAAATGTTTTATTTAGTCAACTTCATCATAGAGCTATTTATCATTTGGCTTGTTGGCGATAAATATATGGTTGTGTGTATTTTGTTAATTTTTTTTATCTATTTTGATTTGTTCACATTATTGAAATAAGAATTAAAGAAGATATAAAATTGCTTAAAATTAAGAAAAATAGCCTCTGGTTCTCTTATTTTAGTAATTTTTGCATTCCAAAGTGTAGGAGTATGGGGAAAGGAATATAGCTTTGCTGTTATTTGTGAACATTTTTCAATACGTTTAGCCTTTCAGTACTTTGATTAGGTCTATACACCTTAGGCAAAAATCACATTCAAGTTAAAAAAATCTTTGTCTGTGTCCTGACTTCTGATTCACAGAGGATGACAAGTCAACTTTTGGCTGGCAGGGTCACATTTACCAAATTTATTAAATACCCCTATAATCCTTGACTCGAAGAATGTAGGACGATGAAATTTTATACAAGTAGAAGAACAAGGAAATGTGTAGAACCTGTTTGTCTAAAATCAAAGTCAGTTTGGGTTCAAGGTCAAATTTTTGTACTTTAGTTTTTATTTGTATAACTAAAGGGATTAAATGTATTAAAAAAGTGGTTAGTGTTAATGCCAGTACATTAACTTCTTTAGGAGAATTGTCAATGCTGTGAAGATATAAAACTTTACTTTTACACTATTCAACTCTTTACTTTGATTGGTCCATGTCAGCTCTTTATGCTGATTGGACAATATCAGCTCTTTATTCTGATTGGACCATTTCAGATCTTTACTCTGAATAATGTCAGCTTTGTGCTCTGATTGGACCTTAACTGCTCTTTACTCTGATTGGACTATGTCTTCACTTTACTCTGATTGGACCATTTCAGCTCATTTCTCTGAACAATGCCAGCTTTTTATTCTGATTGGCCCGTGTAAGCTCTTTACTCTGATTGTTACCAATTAAACAATTTCGTTTGTTTTGAGTTTTCCTTAAAACTTGTTAAGGCCGTCTAAGGTGTTTAGGGCATTTTAATTCGCTTTTGTATGTCATGTTCTGAGAACAGAATTCATTGCTTTCCTAACGCTAATGATCGCTAAACTTCAAGGGCACATGTAGGCAATGTCATGAGAAACATCGAAAAGAAAGCAGTTAGTCAAAAAGGAAAGAAGAAAAGTACTTGTATGAGGACAGAAGAAAGGAGTTGTTTAGGGACAGAAGGAAGGAGTTGTTTAGGGACAGAAGAAAGGAGTTGTTTAGGGACAATAGGAAGGAGTTGTTTAGGGACAGAAGGAAGGAGTTGTTTAGGGACAGAAGGAAGGCAAGAAAATGTTGTTAAGGACAGGATGAGAGAAAGAAGATAGCTGTTTAGGGACAGGATGACGGAAAGAAGATAGCTGTTTATGGACAGGATGAGGGAAATAAGATAGCTGTTTAGGGACAGGATGAGGGAAATAAGATAGCTGTTTAGGGACAGGATGACGGAAAGAAGATAGCTGTTTAGGGACAGGATGAGGGAAAGAAGATAACTGTTTAGGGACAGGATGAGGGAAAGAAGATAACTGTTTAGGGACAGTAGGAAAGCAAAAACATGTTGTTAAGGGA